ACCTGGCAGCAGCCACTCTCATCCTGCTCGGATGCCCATGAGACCTCCAGGCCCCACGTGCCACCACCCCGGGCAGGTGGCAGTCCCTGGGCAGCGGTGACCACTGGGAGATGGCAGAGCCCACCTCCCCCACAGGCACAAGTGCTTCTGATGCACAACGGGAACTCTAAGAGAAGAGGTGACCATGTACATGTGGCTGCTCCAGAGCAGCCTCGAGCCAATGCTGCTCGAATGATCAATACACAAAGCAAAAGTTGGTACTGGCATCTAGGACTTGGCAGATCCCTCTCTGGAGTGTTCCCTGGTACCATGCCACATCCTGACAGCTAGACAACATGATACACATGGACAAGATCTCCTACACATGAAAGGGACAAGAAACAAGTCTGTTTTAAAGCAAAGAGAGAAGACTGATGTTGCTTTACCCCAAATCCCTTTAAGTAGGGCCTGAAATAACCTACATTCAGTTTCAGAAACTTCTACATCACTGATGGAGCAACAAGGCTTCAACTGACACTCCCAGATCCACACCCTTCAACCCTCTCCTGTGCAAGGAAGCTCATTTACTACCAAAAACCTGTGACAACAACAAGCAGAGATGCAGCGACACTGCTGCGCTCCCAAGTGCTCTGTTACAGAACAGACACACAACAGCAACTGCACTGCCAGGGACTGCAAGTGCACACTTAGCCCAGTGTGTGCCTCATCTTCCACACGAATCCATTACACCCTTGTAAGTCAAAACATTTTGCCTGAGGACACCCCAAGTCAAGCCCTCCTGAGCAGGAAACCCACCACAGAGGAGCATCGCCCCACCCACTCTGAGACAGGGGCACTGTCAGTGCAGCCTGTCCTGCCCACTCGTGCTCCCCCACAGAGCCAGAAGCCTGTGAAGCAGAGCTGCTGCTCCAGAGGGACAGAGACATCCAGTTTGGCAGCATACAGGGAGCAGATAGTGCTGGAGCTGGCAGCAGTTCTCATCAGGAATTATGGGAAACAGACAGAAAGAGAGCGAGATTGCATCCCATGGGATTGCAGAGGTTCAACTGCTTTTACCAGCCGCTGGAACACCAGGACCTCCATTCCCCTTCTGTTGAAATGGGAGCTCCGAGGACCATTCTCTTGCCTCAGATACAAACACTGAAGTGGTGTTCAGCTATAACACCAATTCGGACATGGCTTCAAATTCCCTTCAGCCCAGGCATGCAGCACAGGAGCAAAAGCACCTCAAAACCCACACACCAGCTTCCAGTTTAAACTCCTTCAGTGAGCAATGGCATGAAAAGAAAATGTCATTTGATAAAAATAACCTTTCACAAATGTCCCATGGTAAAACACCCAGAAACTAGTTCTATCTATTAAAAGATCCCAATCCAAGTCAGCACAAGCCACTGGAATTACATTCTTGCTAGAACAGTTGTTACAAGAGAAGAGCCAAGACAGTGCAAGACCTTAATACAGATAAAACCTTAAACAAATACTTCAACATCAACATTTCAGGGAGTAATTTAAGTACTACAATGTGAAGCGAGTCTTATCTGCTCTGCTGGATATAACAGAAAATAATCCCAGAATAATCCAAGTCATACATTTAAGAAGCCATCAACGCAATCTTTGCTTCTTGTGGCTGCAATAAATGAGACTGAAGCAATGCCTGGAAGACGGAAGGCATGAGGGGACGGTCACATTTGGGTTGGAACACAGTGCCCAGCATGGTTCCCCGTGCAGGCTGTGGGCACTGCTGGGGCACACAAAGGGGAGCGCTGGGGGACGTCACCGGGACACAATGAGGGTTACACTGCCACACACCCACCCAGCTCAGCCCCACACGCTCCCAGGTGCCAGCTACCCTTCTCTCCCAAGCTTGCTGCAGGTGTGTGGTGAGTGGAAAAGGGATCATGGAGCAGCAAGGTGCCCAGCAGACCTGGGGCAAGGCTACCTGCAGGACCAGCAGCACCTCAGCAGGGGATGAGGTGGCACAATCCAGCTTGTTATGCTGCCAGAAGAGATGCTCGTATCTGCCTGGCCCCAAGCTCAGCCCAGAGCAGCTCTGCCGTGGTACTGCACAACAGGCACAGACCTCACTCAGAAGAAAGCATGCCCAGCACACCGCCCAGCATTTCACAACCTACACGGCAGACCGCTGCTGGACACAAAGGATATGCAGCACACCAATAAAAACTCATGGAATTGAAAGAAAAAGAGATTACACCACAGGTATGTAACAGGACTTGAGGAATCCACATTAAGAGGAATCTTACAGAACTTGAGGAATCTCCCCTGTAAGAAGGGCATGTAAACAAAGACATCAGTAGATGTAGTGTTTTAACCCTGATGGAGGCTGTCCGAACAAGGGGACCGTTCTGCTGAGGGACGAGTGGCAGCCAGACCCGTGGGGAGGGGGACAAGCATGCCAGAGGGAGGAATGTACAGTGCTCTGGAGAACAGGAAAGCTGCTCCAGGGGGTTAGGTACAGCCCCTCCAACCTGCAGGAAGGGGCCTGTCAAAGCGTGCTCAGAGAGGGCAGGACAACACTTGGCTGAGATCTAAACATCACCCCTAGAGATAACGGAGGCATAGTCACATTGCTATGATAAGGGTCTGAGCACATTAGGAAATGCTTCCCAGGAGTTTGAATAGGGGAGTCCTGACAGCATCATGGCCATCCAGGTGCATGGACACAGCTCTCCCGCGGCACTGCTTCCACAGGCACGAGCTGGCCACCAGCTGCTGCTCAGGCATTTCTTCTGTGGCTTAGTAGAGCGTTTCAGAAGAGACAAAGTAGTTAAAGAGGACAGGGTAGAGGTTGCCTTAGGTATGGACAGAGCAAAACTCCTCGTAGACATAGCAACAAAAAATACAGGTTACATTTCATAGAAAACAAAATAACTTTCTGCTGCTGGAATGCAAAAATTAAATCTATTACACAGACACGCGCACACGGACACACAGGTACCTTTCTGTCCGTCACTAATGCTAGTCCCTCCTATACTGGCTGAGTATATACCTGAGAAACAACATTAGTGTTGAAATATTGCCCTTTTAGAAAGCTTGAAAATGGAGGGGAGCAGGGAGAGAGGGTTGAGAGCAGAAAGAAGCGGCAGTCTCTCCAGTTTCCTTCGCATCCTCCACAGCTCGGAACAAGGCCATACACCAGCGTGGACACAGCCCGCCCGGAACAAGACCAAAGGAATATCAGTTCACAGCTCTACAAAGCACACCAGTGTCAGTACAACTGGGGTCAGATTCCAACCCACGAATCTGAAGGAAGTTGTTGCATTTTCGACAGAGACTCCTGTACAAGTGCTATGGGACAGCTGCATTCATGTTCAACAATGATTCCAGCTAGGCTACTTGCACCAGTGCTGGCTGCCTGTGGCTATTTGGTTTGATGGCAGAATCAAAAGGCGCTTTAACAACTTGCAGTTAACTTCTCCTCAAAACATACATTAGGCACATGAACAAAAAAAACAAGAGCTCAGAATAAATTAGCTTCTCAGCAGAAGAAAAGACACCTGGATTGCAGCATTTCACTGAGGTTCCAGAGAAGGCCGTACAGACACCTGCATGCTGGAAGGTAATTTTTTCAGCGGCTTGTCAGCAGGCTGCTTGCCACTGGAAGGAGGAGACTGGACTCCGGGTTCTAGCTGGGAAGACTTGGACTTGCGACTGGATAGCAGAGAATGTTTGTTGGGTGTGGCATCTTTTGGGGCAAGTTTCTCATTCGCAGTAACATTGGCATTGGTTTGGGAGGCTGGTGGGACAACACCTTTCTCTGGTTTGTCCTCCAGCACATTTTTACTGCCTGACTTGGAACTGACACTCCCTGTCTTTTTTGAGAGCATTGTTGTCTTCCCCAGGTCTGCTGACCTCCTCGTCTCCTTCTGCCTTAAGGCTGATTTAAAGAAAGACAACCCCTTCTCTTCTGACTTGCTGTCCCTCTTCAAACCAGAACGCGCCCCAGCGTTAGGAGACCGCAGGTTGGCCATGGAAGAGCTCCGCACGTGCTTGCTGTCCACTGCCCTGCTGTCGCTCCTGGAGTGGCTGATCCGTGGGGAGCTCGTTCTCGAGCTGCTGGTAACGCTCGTTTTATCCGACCCCAGACTGATTTTGGAACCCTCCCTGCTGAGGCTGCGGTCGGAAGTCCGGCTCTTCCCAGTGGAAGAGCCCTTAGTCAATGAGCCTGATGGGGCTTTCTTGGCAGCTGTGGAGGATGGAGAACCACCTGACTTTTGCTTCTGTTGAGCCGATGGGGCAGACGCCTCCAGGGGCCTCGTGCTGTGGTCCCTCCTAGCCTGAGCAGGAGCAGGAGACCCATGGCGCCCGCTGGCCCTAGAAGAGTCCGTCTTACTTCTAGACCGGGAAACCTTCTGGGAACTCTTCGGTGGAGGAGAAGAGTGAGAGACTTTGGTCTCTTGGGTAGGTAAGACTGTCCTTCCCTTCCTCAAACTTTTGTCTGGCTCAGAAGCTCCCTTGGAGCTGTGACCCTTCTTAGGGGTGCCATGTGCCTTCTCTGCAGCCAGTCCTGTCCCACTGGGGGCTTTCACCTCCTTCACTGGGGAGCTGTCCACAGAATCGCTCTGGTCAACAAAGGCGATTTGATTGTTGTTATCAAAAGGGTCCAGAGCAGGGTGATTCCTGTCTGGCTGCACAGAACTTTTCCCACACCCATCTGAAAGGTCTGAGCTAGATGTCCTTACAACGGACTCTTCCCTGAACGCCCCTTCCATGACAGCCAAAGGGGCTCTGCGAGCCGTCTTGTGCTCTCGACGGCTGTTGTCACAGGGCTCCAAGTAGCTGCTGGAAAGGTTCCTCAGACTGCCGAAGCACGAAGTGGAGACTTTATCATCAGCAGCCTCCCCAATCTTCTCCAGGGTGGAAGCAGAGGTATGTACTGGGGAATCTCCGGAGAAGCGTGACGGGGAGTTGGAGCGGAACTGCAGTTTTGCAGAGAGTGACCACGAGGGCCTGACACCATTTTCACTCACTGCCAGTGGGCTGGTGACAGAGGACCTGGATGACAAGCTCTGACGCTGGACACTCCTTACAAAGGGCCGAGTTGAAAATCCTCCTGCAGAGAAAGGAAGCAACAGTGTGAAAGCCAAGGCTGCAGCTGGTTATCTCACCCATCCATATTTCCCTAAGAGAGACAGGCAGTCCACCCACACCACACTGTCTCTCTTCATGTGTGCTGCAGGCACAGCTTCTTTCAGAAAAGCTGAGTAAGGAATTCAACAACTGTTATTTGCTAATGGTCACCCAGGAGTAAGTCTCTGAAGCCTGTAACTAAAACCCCAGATTTTTCTCTCATCCCTGAGCAGCAGGAGATCAAACACAGGGTTTGCACCTTGGAAGTCCTTGAAACCAGCAAGGAGTTCACCAGCTAGGAATACTACCCAGACCATCCCATGGAAGGCAAAGTAGGATTCCTATCTCTAGATCAGGTAATGTATTTGTACTTACAAACACAAAATACAATTATTAGAGAGTGTGACTTCCATGGCCAAACTTGACAGCTGTCACAGCACTGCTGCAGGGACATCTCCACACCCCCTCCAAACGCTCAGACCTGTGAAGGTCCACGTTCTCAGAAGTTACAAGGCACTGTGTGGAAGAGCCAGGCAAAGCCAGGAACTGAACAGTTACTTGCACACACAAGTGGATTTGACTCTTCCCTCCTCCCTGGGAGCAGGCAGCAGCACAGCAGCATGTGCCTACGCTAAGCCATAGCACTGTGTCAGCCTCCCTGCAAAGGTGCTGCAGCGAGACCCAGAGAAAACAAAAGCACAAGCAGTTCTTGATTGAGAGGTTTTGTTGATGGCATTTGCTTTCTTTGAAGGGCTCCTTGATGTGCCTGCCCTAATCTCCTCCATCCTTTCACACCAGATTGAAGCTCACCTGTGCTCCTATCAACCCAGTGCCTGCCTCCCGCAGCTGCTGGAGTAACTGTCTCTTGTAACCACATATTTTCCAGCTATTTTAGTAGGTGTCTTGCAACAGAAAGACGAGTGGCCCAGTGTCCCCCCGACACGCATACCCACCATCATCTTCACTCCGTTCCCCAGTCAGCTCCACGGATTCCGAGAGCGAGGCAAGGGATGTGCGGCGCGACGAGGCGGCCGAGGCGATGCTGGGCTGCTTGCTGCCAGGGAGGCGACTGACCCAGTGCTCACACAGCGAGGAGCTCGTAGAGCCTGCAAGGGACCAGGCACAGGGTCAGGCCAGCAGTGTGCAGCTGCAGCACACAAGAAACCCTGAAAGGCCATAGGAGTCAGGTACATACCATGCAGAGCACACAGCAACAGCACCCAGACACTGCCAAGGGAATGGGGCTTTACTCTTACAGATCAGCCAAGGTCAGAAGAGAAAAGCAGAACTGCATTCGTCCCAGTGTGCTGTCAATACGAGCATGCAGGCAGCAGGCAGTGCTTGAGCTGTCACCACAATGCCATGCAAATCCTTTCCTTTCCAGCGGCAGGTCACCAGGCCTGCACCTGCCCCCAGCTCACCCCCAGATTCCACCAACACGTGTGCTACTGGTGCCTCCTCAGGACCAACAGCGCTGCCGCAGGGAAGGAGCAAATCACATTTTCATGTCCTGGTTTTGACAGGAGCAGCTCTAAGCAGAGTTACCCATGGGGGTGGAGGGGGGTTGTCCCATCTCCACAGCCTCCCTGCCACAGCTGCCTTAGCAGAAGGGGGGGGAGGTTCCCATGGCCTCTGATGCACAGCCACAGATTCAGACAAGCCTCACTGAGTTTTGAGACATGGAGTGGGGGCTTAAACAGAGCTGGGCAGAAAATTCTTCAGAAGGACAAACTATCCATGAAGACAACTTACCCCTGGACAGCGCCAGCAGGGCTTACCTGCCACCGAGCTGTTGGCAGACCAGGAGGGGATCGCTGTGCGTCGCTGGTAGAACAGGATGTAAGCTGTCTGCTTGCAGACTTCGCTCTCAGAAAGCTGCTGAACTTCACTGTCATCAAAGCAGTACCACTGGCCATCAACAGAGTTCTTGCAATATGCTGAGAGAAATACATTACCGTGAGACTTTCCTCACTCCTATTTCTCTCAGGTTTGCTCTGTGATATTTAACATGACCTTATCTGCTATGACGGACTCAGAGGAAAATGAAAGGAACAGATTTATTCATGCATCATCTTCCATTGTGACTGGCAAGATGGGAGCCTAAGGCTGCCAGAGCACAGTAAACAGCTCACATTTCAGGACTATCTTTGTCCAACATTACTTTTCAGAACAGAACACCATTTGGGGTAGCTCCATTCACTTCACCTTCTGCTATTTGTGGCACTCTGCCCCCACCAGTGACTCCCCTTCCAAGTCCACACAGAAATATAACTGGTTTCTTTGTGAAAGGCTCCACCACAGAAAACATTGCAGGACACTTGCCTGTATAGTGTCCCCCCTGCATGGTGCCATGGTGGTTGCAGACAGCATACAGGTCATAGATATAGTCCTCAGGATCCCTGCCAAGGCCATAGGGTCTCCTCCAAGGTGACCAGTGGGATGGCAGACTCCAGCTGCTCTGGCTGCGTTTCACAACATGAGGAGTCATGTCCAAGCCACTCAGGGGGAATTTAACCATGTTCTGAAGTTTCATCCTTCGGTCTCCTTCCTGTGTGCAGAGAACAGCATGAGCTGCAGTGGCCCAAGGCCACTACACTGAGGAATACAAAGCCCAGGAGAGGAACACGCAGGACAGAACAGCTGTTCCTGAAGAGTGGGTCTAGCCAGGTCACTCCCTGCTCAGCAGCAGTCCTCCAGCAGCACTGCAGGCCTCCTTACCTGTCTAAACCTTTTGAGATGTATGATGAGAACATCAGGTAAGGTCCAGAGGCTCAAAGTGATGCTACCCTGCTGCAGCTGCTTGCAGTGTGGGCATCGCCACGCATCATCTGGGGCAAGCTACAAGGAAGAGGCAGGAGTTGGTATTGGTTTTCAAATTTCAAGGCAGCTCTCACCACATTGCTGTTCCTGTGCTGCCCCAGGCCCAGTGCAGGCACTGATCCCTCTGCCCAACCTCCCTCCAGCAGTTATCAAGCTCACTGGAAATACGAGGCTCCCAATGACCAGTGCCAGGCAGAGACGTGTGCCTCACACAGGAGGCACTTCCTGCTGCAAGACAGAATTCAGCCAGTGCTGCTGTGCACAGGAGCTGTTTGCACCTTATTAAAGGCCAATCCCTTTGAAGTGGGGAGAAAGGAAAAACCATGGCAAAAAGCAGGCAGGCTTGGCAGCCTGCGAAAAAGTATTTTCACAAGAAAACCAGCAGTAAAGAAAGAATCAGAACAGAAAGAAGAAAGGTGTACTTTGGGTGTCATCTCTGACACCTCTCTGCCCTCTTGAAACCTTCTTCCTCCCTAGTCCCAACAGCACAGAACTTCACACTGTAGACTCTCCCCATCCACCGAGGAGAACATGTCCTTTCAAAGACACAATGTGACAAGCACCTCCCTCACAGCCCAGTGCTCAGAACTCAGCAGCCAGAGAGCTTTAAGTTGCCAAACAACTCTTCCCTCACCTCTGAAAGAAGCAACAAGAGAGGCTCCAAAATTATTTAAGCTTAATCCTGGGCCCAAAGCCCACCTGTAGGATCAGCCCTTTGTACAGCAGGTTACAGACTATGCCAAAGGAATGCAGATTGTTTCTGTGTGCCAGGCAAGGGGCAGGTCAGAGCCCTCTCTAACCTGCCTATGGCACACTCTCACTCCTGCCTCTCCAGCCTCCCATGCCAGGAGCAGAGTCAGAGGAGGGAAGCAGCCATACTCCTGCAGAACTGACCTTAGCTGTCACTGTGCTGCCATTTGGGGGGTCCCACCCCAGCCCTGCTCAGCCTTGGGAACAGAGGAGGACAGAGCAGGACACTCCCATGAATAAGGCACGTTGTTCTAACCGTTTATAATGTCTATATTATTTCACAGAGAGGAAACTGCCAAACAGAGGGCTAAGTTCTCACATCAACATCTGTGAAGCAAAGAACCCAGCAGCAGGACCTCCCACAGCCTTCTCACTGCAGAGGAACTCTGTTAGCAGCACAGCTAACTAGTTTTGTGTTACAAATTTATTCTCCTGTCTCAAGGAAGCGACGTTTGCAGGAAAGAACTGCTCTGGAGTGTGGGAGTTCCTGTGGCACGCAGACCAACTAGAGCATACAGTCTGTCCCTACCTGTTCCTCTTTGGTGTACAGTTGGAAACACTGAGATAAAGTGCAGATCTGAGGTTGATGATGAAGCTCTCTCTGCTGGCGGACGCTTTCAGAGTCTGGAATATACTCCTCTTCTGTATTCACAAACAAGCTGCATCAGGGAGAGCCACATTTACCAGCACATTCACCCACTCCCCAGGCTGTCCCTGTGGACAGGGGCTGGGCACAAGGTGGGTTTGAGGGGTCTCATCTTTGCTGAAGGGCGCACAATTCACACAAGCAAGCTGCAAGCAGTGATCATGAAGACACTAAGTGAGGTGAACACACTTTAGGGCTTTATACTTACTAATCTTTAGTTTCTTTGTCCCATTCTACCACTAATTTCACATGAGCGGTTCCCCCCTGTCCACATGACTTCAATGCCCTGCAGAGAGGACAGAGAGAAATTAGACCATCTTTAAATCCAAAGTCTGTTATCTTCTACACACATAAAATTCCTCTCCACAAGCTCTTTATCCTTCCTCCACTCTCACAGCTCAAGTCTGCAAAGGAGTAATAGGAATTCACACAGCAAGAAACACGGCAAAGCATTCACCCAAGGATTGAGTTCTGTAAGGCAACCCACACCTGATACAAAACAGGCACCTGCCAACACTTCTAAAGAATAGCAGGCACAAAAATTATTTTAACATGTGGAGAGTAATGTTTTCATTCTGTTCTCCATTTCCAAGGAGGACAGACTCCAGACAGCAAGACAACTGAGCAATCCTCACAGCAACCTGCTCCTCAGGCCTCTGCCGTCCACACACCCACACCAGGACTGTCCCTTTCTGCATGGCTACACACAGAGTTCCCAGCTGACAAGCCTCTCTCCACTCCTGAGAAGGACTCAGGACACGAGGATCAGCTCACCTTTCCACTGTTGGGTGGCAGAGGGGTCGCTCCTCCTGAGGTAGCAAGTACGTTATGCCCACAACACTGACCACTCGCAAGCTAAATGGGCAAACCTGCAACAAAGAGCAGAGGTCACCTCAGGAGCTCCAACCCAACCTGCCCATGTGAAAACTGCTGTCAGCACTGCCTGACAAGGACTTTATTCTCAAACACGTCTGACATGGGAAAGCAAATGTACAAGTTCTCATATTTGCCTACACCTACGGGGGGGAGGTACAGCAACAGAGCCTGTGCACCCAACAGCTCCTCCGTGGTGACCAGAGGACATATGCCTCACCTGCATGCAGGCTGCAGGCCGCAGGAAATACTGCATCTTCTCCAGAATTTCCTTCTGTAGAATATCCCAAGCAATTGTTTTTTCCAAATGCAACACAAAGGGCAAGCCAAACCTACAGGAATGAGAAGCATTTGAGGGAGCAATTAAATGATTATCGTGTTCAGCAATGAGATTGCCAAATTCTGCCAGTGCCACTCTCCCCCTCCCCTCAGCACCTACAGAGCTCAGCACTCGGGTGAAACTCCCCAAGCATTTCCAAACGTGTCTCCAGAGCAGAGGGGCTTAGCACTGAGGCTCCACAGTTGGGGCTGCCCCTGCACAGAGCCCCTTAGAGGAGCTGCAGCCCCTCTGTGCCTCAGTGGCTGCTCCAGCTGCAGAGCTTTGTGACCTGCCTGGGAGAACTTGGTGCGAAGCTCTGTGAAGCTTCAGTGGCTGAGGCAATTCTCAGGCTGCAGCTGATACAACTTCCTCTGCTATGGTTGTTCCTCACTTTCCCCCACCCCTGTTTTCAGTCCAGTCAAAAATTCCTACCCATCATGGGGTCTGGTCAAACATGCTGCTCCCAAACCAGACAGCTCCACAGAGCTAGTGTGTCCTCCCAACTGGGCTGCATTTGCCCCTTTCCAGTAACACTTCCCTACTTGAAGTTCACCAAAACTAGAAATATTTCACTGCATCCATTAATGCTTTTTGATCAACGTGTTCTTGAGCACCTGATGTGAGCTAGGGATGCAAGCTGCTGCTCCTTCACCTGGTGTCTGCACTACAGGAGAATAAAACCCAGGTCAGTTCAGGAAGCAGCCAGAGAAGTAACTCCAACTGTGCTGCTGCCAGTCACCTTTTGCTCTGCTGTCCAGTGCACGCTCTGTTACACACCAGCAAGACAATCTTGTCATTTGCTGCTGGTTTAGTAGAGGACTGTTCCAGTTTTCCAGACTTCACTGTTCCTTGAGAGTAAGCTATTGTTCGGGAGTGCTCAGTGCCACATTTCAAGTTATTCAGGTTATTGTTCACATGTATTCCTGAAAAATTAGGAGCAAGGAAACATTTTATTAGGTCATTTACCTTTAGTGTCCTGATGACCCCCTCAAGAAACCCTCCTTGGGCTGCAGAGGAGCAGGTCAGTATGGAATCAGGAGCACTTTCATCACTTGTATGAAGGCTTCAGAGAGCAATTACCTTTCACAGGGACTATTTCTTTACAGAGGGACATTGTAACTGATTTTTCATAGCAGTTTGTACAAGCACTCACAGCTTTGTCTGCCCACAAGAAAAACAGAAGTGCCAGGAACCCAACTTGTTACTTTCCATAATAAAATTTGCCTTTGATTACACTCCATCTGCCTAGGATGCCTTTCACTGAGGGGAGATGCAGAGCAGCTGAGGGGTTTGAGCTTGGAAAGAGAAAGTTGTTTGTTCATTCCCGAGACTGTTTATTCATCACTGGCAATCTGATTTTAAATAACACAATTTCAGTGGCTTCATCTGGTCCCTAGTAGGTCTTTAAATTAAGCCTGACAAGAGATTTCACATTAAGCCAGCCTGGCCTGCAGCACCAGCCCTGGGAAGCAGCAGAAAGGAGTGTACAGCACTGCTTGATAACCTCCCAGCTGACAACACTATTAAATCTTCTGGAATGAGCCTGGACAAAGTCAGAGCTGAAATCAATACACCAGAACATCAACTGCTTGTGGGACTCTTATTCTTTTTGCCGCACAAGCCTGCCTCACTAGTCACCTGAGGTGGGCATTAAGTGGAGTTATTGACTCACCCCTCTGACTGAGGATGCCCTCGGGCCTGAAAATCTCTGGGGTCTCAAAGGCAAAAATGCAGTCGCTCTCATGGATGGTGTCCAGGTCATCGGTGTCGCAGAAGGAGCGATGGAAGCCATCGTAGTACATCTCTGTCAGCACGATCTGCAGTCAGCAGAGGCAAACCAGAACCCATCAAACCACCCATGCCTGGTCCAGCTCAGCCACCCTGTCTCTCAGCTGGGATCTTCCTGCTAAGGGATGGCATTCCTCAAAACATCCTGGCATCAGCCAGGAGCAAGGAACAGGAAAAATGACTGCCGTAAAAGAGAAGTTGGGCTAAAGGCAGGTTTTTGGTGGGATCCAATAGCTGTTGCTCCTACAAAAGAATTCCCCATAGGTGCCCAACAGTTTCCTCACTGCCAGCATGCAGGGATCACTGTGGGATCATGCGGGTCTGCACCCTCCACTGAGGCTATCCCGAGTCACTGGGTTTACAGGGAAAGGCATGATCCAGATTTCTACCACTACCCTGCTCCCCCGTTCAACCATGGGCAGTAAATTTCAATCCCTACATATCCGACGAAAGCCTCCGCGCTCCGTCCCGCCGCAGGGAGGGCACACAGGTGAGCAGCCCAGCCCATTACCTGCTCCGTGGGTATCTTGGTTTCCGAGGAGACAGCCTCCCGCAGCCTGGCCACCGTTCCCGAGATGGGCACTGCCACCCCGATCCGCATGCAGTGCGAGCACTTGCCCTGGTACACCACAGTGACGTAGAGAGGCCTGCAGAGAGCACGAGAGCACTGCTGGGGCTGTGGCTAGGCTGAGCACCTCTAGCCACAGCCCAACCTGGGCACATCCAGGCTGTGCACCAGCTGCAGGGCCCTCCTGGCTGCTTGGATCCACCTCACACTGGAGTCATGCTCAGCCGTGACCAGACTAGTGTGTTTGATTTACAGACTCCTTTCTTACTATACACCCTGGTATTACTCCCACAAACAGAACATCTTGAAAGAGCCCCACAAAGTTAAAACCAAAACTCTCTATGACAAGGCAATCAGAATTTTCTAACAAGGATCCTGTAATGCAGCTTGGGAGAATCTGAGGCAGCAGCTTAAGGCACTGAGAGAGCTGTGGCTGGGAACAGGCTGCCCCTCAGTCCTCAGTCCATAAATCTGTAGCACTGCCTGGGGAAAGCAGAGTGGGGACACCTTCCCTGGAGAGCCCACTCAGCCTCCACCTGGTGGGGAGCAGGGATTTCCAAAGCAAATGTCACAGAGTCCTATTTAACCTATCCTGTCATCACTGTTCCATTGCTTCTGGAAGCCACACAAGTTTTCTGCATCCAAAACACCAAGTGAAGGAGTTTGTTTATACCATGGGTAGCTTTGCTGTGTATCTCTTCGTCTTTGCTCTGAACTTTTTATCTAGAGGACTTTTCTTCCCTGGAGCTTTTTTCTTTATTTGCAACAGCGTGACCCATAGAATTACATCATCCCATTGTGAGATGCTTCACCCCCGGGGGAGGAGCCAAGCATTCCCATCTGGATATAATCTGGGGTCTGGACCAGCACAGAGAGCCCTTACCTACTGAATTCCCAGAGGACAAGACCTACCACTGGACCTTCAGTTGAAGACCAGATCTACAGGATCACTGCTCCAACAGACCCATCGCTGCAGGAGGACTGCGCCACCATTTAATCAGACTACTACCAACACCCTGACTGACAGGGTGCGAGGTTGTTTTCTGACTCTGTCAGTGGTTTCTTTTTGTACTGTTGCATTTTATTTTTTTTCCCCATATTAAATTGTATTTCTGACATGGAGTATCTCACCGGTTTGCTTTCAAACCAGCACACATCCTTTTCCCCTTTTTAATTTTAAAATGCTATAAATTAAGCAAAAAGTAAAATATTTTGGTTTATGTGACTCAAAGACTTTTTCCCTCCAAAATTAATTCTATAGGAAGCTAAGGGTGGGGGCAGAGAGCTGCTCTGAAATAAAGAAAAGGCTCCACTTTCCAATTTACCTGCAAAGCAAAAAAATTAAAGCCCCATATGGTCCTATCTATCTTTTTTAGAGACTTAGCTGAGAGATTTTGCTGACATGTCTCTTCCTGCCGTAGTAAATTAAACAACACTACCTGCATGGGAAACAGCCAAGGTTAAGTTCAAGACAGCTCCGTACCGTGTGTGGGGCAGCGGGATCGGCAGCGAGATGCAGAGGAAAGGGTCAAAGGTGTTGCTCTGCTTCTGGCAATGAGGGCACGTCAGGGAGGACCTGGGACAGGTATGGATAACAGAGCAGAGTCACACTTCACTTCATCAGGAACGTATAAACCATCGAATCCCAAGGAACAGCCTTCACACACCAGCTTGGCTGCCCCTTTCTATTGCTCTCCCTCCGCACTGCAGCTCTGCACAGAGGCTGTACAGACACAGCTGCTGCAAACACTGGGCTCCTCATTTCTAGAGCCTCTTACAGCAATTAGTCTCAAAGTTCATTACAGGGCATGCCAGGAAAAGATTTCACTCCAGTCCCTGAATGTGGCTTTTAATACACATTACCGAAAAATAGTAATACACCAACAGAAGCTCCAAAGTGGATGGCCTGGAAGGGGTTTGTCTTTGAGAAAGGTGCAGTGATGGGACAGGGACAGTCAGCACCAAGGTGCACACAGCTCTTACAAACTCCAGACAAGAATTCTCTCTCATTCAGAATTAACCTGCACCTTAAAGACTTATACTGGCTTTGTCTTACACCAGGCTTAAGGTTTCTCCTTTGCAAAGGAAAACGTGCCAAATACTGTGGAGAACACCCAGCAATCAACCATCGAGGAACACTGGCAATTCAGCTGTTCCCTCTGAACAGCTCTGAAATTAGAAAGCTCACTTCCCAGGAACCAGGGAAACTCATGGGAAAACCCTGAAGGGAGGTGAAAGCTTCAGCTCAGAATTCTCAAGTGCCAGATAACAGGCACTCCGCACACTCTGGGGATCCCTAACGCCCAGGCATCTCCAGGTCCTGCAGCATGGGGAATATCCTGAGGCTTTGCTCCACTGAGCACTAACCTGCTTTCAGAATGCACTGGGGCAGGGGCAGTAGTACATCCTGCAGATTTTCACAGAATATACCAAATTTGAAGTAGTGAAATTCTCTCTCTCCTCTGGAACAAGGTCTCAGTTCAGATTCCCTTCAGCAGAAGCTCAGAAACAGCTGTTAACACAGTGCCACCAGTCCCAACTGAACTGGGAGCTAGTGCCAGAGCAAAATTATACTGGGGTCACCAGTACACACAACAGTGCCTCCAAATTCACAAAATTCCATACCTGTACTGGGCTTGAAAGAGTTCCTGCACGAAAGTGCTACTGATGGGGAAGGCTGGGCCCTCGAGCAGCACATCATCCTCCAGTGGTGGCTGAAAGAGAGGAACAAGCCCTGGAGGCTCAGCTGGCTGTGGGGGTGCACCACCCAGGTGGCTTCAGGACTCAGGCAGAAAAATCCCTATTTTAACCCAAGCTTTTGTTCTGTCTGAGCTATAGGAGTTGAGAAGCCAAGGGAGAGCACTACTTCAAAAGGAAATCCTGCGTGCAAGGCTAGAGCTGCCTTCCCACACTGGCTCCCAGCAGAATCCCTTACCTTGAGTGGAGGCATTCCGCCGGAATTCACCGCGTTGTTCAGATCCTCGTGGACTCTGTCGAGGAGCCAAAGCAGGAACTCCTGGGCATCGTGCTGGGCGTTCCCGCGGTACTGCATCGCGTTCTTGGACACGATGTTCTGCAGGGAGAAGGGACAGTGTGCAGTGACAGCCCATCAGGCCCTGCCCGCACTGACAGGGAGCTGAGGCTGCTCCCATCACACCTACCCCTGCACCACATGGTCTGACACTGCTCCACTCACAAAACCTCCTGTTTGTTCGAGCTCAAGCAAAACAGGGATTTAGGCTCCTAATGCCCACTCACCCTGTTTTGCTCATTGTGGCTTTGGTGAGGTCACAGATTTCCCAAAACCTCGATGCAGATGCCCATGCTGATCTAAGTCTACAATTCCAGGATTCAGCCAGGATCATCTAAACCACAGATGTTTCTACAAACTGATCATCCCAATAACATGCAGGTAGAGCAAAACTCCTTCCCATCAGCACCCTCTTCAGCACAGGAGCAGTACGATCACTATGAAATTTTCTCCACTGGGTATCAAGAATCCACTGTGCACAACTTGCTCATCCTAACACCACCCACAGTCCAGACCAGGCTGCTCTGTAAAAACCAGGCTGACGGCAAAGTTCATGTCACTCCCCAGCACTCCTGTGCTGCACACGGCCGGGAGGAGAATCCTGACCGTTAGCACTGTGGCACCTGCCAGCACACCTGCAGAGAGACACTGCTCACATGGGACTCGGAGGTACTGAGCAGGTTCCTCAAGAGGGGCAGTGGCACCCGCAGAGGCCATATAGTAGCTGCAGGGCAGGAATGGCCAGGAAGGCTGTGGGGCTCAGCACCCACAGGCCCAGCAGGCCACACATACCCCGTACCAGAGCTTCTCCACTCCTCTAATCAGACTTTGCAACAGATTTGAGAAATGAGGTTGGGCTGCTCGCTTTATCCCTCTGAAAATGGGGTCACCAGGGAGGGGGGTGATGAAAGAGACAGGAAAGGACTGATAAACAGACACTCTATCCTCTGTAATCTGTCCACCTGCCTCAAGGCAGCAAAATAACGGAAAACAGAAATAATCTGCTCTCATTACATATGTGCAGCCCTTCTGACAGCAGATTTACTGCCTCTGCCTGCGTGGGGACCAGCACCCTCCCACGTACAATATGCACACACTGCCTGAACCAGAGGAGTGGTCCCCAGCCACTGCTCACCTTTGCACCACACAGGTGTGAGCACAGCACCTCTGCTTGGGACTCAACATTACCTCAGCTGGGGATGCTGCTGCAAACCAATTCACAGGGGAGAAAAGTCTGAAGTAGTCAGTAGGCACTCAAAGATTAATGGAGACCAAACAGCCTTCTCTGCTCCCCTAGTTCCCATTAAGCAAAGCAAGATCCACTGGCAGGAATAAAGTGAAAAAATACGATCCAAAAAAATTGATCCAAAAAAGCCTCTTAGGTACCAGCCTAATACCTCTTGCAGAGGCTAATACCTCCAGCAGAAAGCTTAGCTGAATGCACCCAGATGACAGAGCAGGGAAGCATTTAAGTCATACATGTGGAGACTTCCTTCGCAAACATTATCTTTGCTCAAAAGAACTACACTAAAAATTAAATTTAGCCCTTAAATTACTGTGTCAAGTTCCAAACTGAAAATCAATCACTGAAATGTGAAGCAGAGATTTTAGTCCAGTCTTAAATGGTTATCTCACTACATCTTCTCTCCAGAATTGCTACCCATGCCCCCACAGTAACAACCTGTCTTTTAACAGCTGTATCCATCCTTCCCATTCCACAGGTGCTGAAACACTCCCCCTAGCCCCAGCAGTGTGTGGTCCCCTTTACATCAAGATACAAACAGGTGTGATGTGACCAGACCAACACTAATGCTTTCCCATCAGCCTGGCAGGGCCAGGAGCCTTAACTGGTGTCATTTGTCCCAGTGAGCTCAGCCAACAGGCACTGCCAGTGCACCTCAGTCCTGTCTAGACAGAGCTGAAGATAAAAGGATCTTTAGCATTGCTGGAAGGAAGTGAATCCGGTATTTCAAGTGAAAAATGGGGTGTGAGGGGTTCTGTATGGAGAAACATAAGGATGGACTCTGGGAATTCAGGCTAGTATTTCTTATGGCCTCTGTCCCAGTGTCAGTAGCACATCACTCCAGTCCAGAGCCTCAGTGGCTGTCAGTGACGTGTGTCCCTGGTGATGCACCGTCCCACAGCGAGCTGCCACCCCGAGCACAGCAAACCCCAGGGATGCACAGCAGCCATGTGCTTTGGTCTGTATCTGTGTCACTGCTCATCTCAGAAGCATCTCCACGATAACTGCTCTGGTTTCCTCGACACTCTTGCAGCCTGAGTGGACCAAGGATAAAGAGCTGCCTGTGGAGACAGATCATAAGATGTTGGAAGTGATTCAGGAAGCACTACAAAATATCAGATGCAATTTCCTCACAAGAGGCTCTGCTACACAAACACTCCAGCAACAGCAGCGTGTTCCCAGCTCACTCACACTTCCTGCCAGTGCTGCTGCAAGGGGCTCAGTTACTGCTTACACCTCTGTGTCTGCTGCTCAGGGGAATGCTGTGTCCTCCTCCCGGTGTGCTAGGGGGACTCATCACAAAAGAGAAGACAACATCTCATTTTGCTGGTCTTGCAGTAACACAACAGCAACGGGCTACAAATACAGAATTAAGCAAATGCTTCAAAAACACACAAAACACACCACATTTACCAACCCCCACCAGCCGTTAATCCTCTGCCCCTAATCTGGCTCTGCTGTAAGTATAGGTGGCACATCTGACCAGCCTCTGTCCAGCACCACAGTGTATTAAGAGCGACTGCAGAATGGTTCTGGTGCAGCTGTTTCAGCTGTGAGGCACTAGGAGTGGGCATGGACTCTGACACTCCCTCTCAACACCTTCCATAACCGTACAGCACTTCCAGCCCTTTCCTCAGCGCAGTCCCTACAGGCTTGGCAGGATGGATCTTCCTTCCTCCAGATGTGTGAGCACTGGCACACAGCCATGCAGAATGAAGCAGCACCAGCCAAAGAGACAAGAGGGGGAAAAACAGCCACTTCCTATGGATCACACTCACTCACCTACCCATACTGCAGGCACCCTGCAACCAAACCAATCCCTGCTCATCCATAAAGCAGATTTACAGCAAAGACACATCATTTTTATCAGCCCAATGAATGTTTAATAATCATTCATCTACTGCTCTAAATAGATGCAATAAATAAATCCAAACAGAGCTGAACTGCTGGCCTCTCCATTGCTGCTGTTATTGTTCCAGATCACAAAGACCAGAGGAAAAATGTCAGTGTGCTGTTTTCCAGGGTAGCCCTGGTAGGAAGCAGCTGTGGAAGGATTTTGCACATGAACGGATGAAGCCAGCTCGTTAGAGACCTGACCCAATAACACACGTGAGCGGGAGGGAAAGGCTATTCTTTATCTTCCACTGAACAGCAAAAGTTGTGCTCAATCACTTTATTTTCATTTTCAAGCCCACAGCCACAGCTCTGTGTTTGGATAAGTTCTACAGCAGACATGAAGTTCACCTAATTACTCCCTCTGCACACGGACAGCAATTCGTCCTCTCCAGAGATGTTTTCTGGGGAGAGCAGTGCCCAGGCAGCAGCATAGTTCAGGCCCCAGGGCTCACTCACCCACCCACCTCCTACCCAGCATCAAGGACAGAGTGCTGCTCCAGCCTGAAGCAGAAGAGATCTCTGTGGGCTGAGCCTCACCACAGCTACCCAACAGGGAAAAGGGAGGTTTGATCACAGCAGCTCTGTCACAGCAGCCAGGGCAGGACAAAACACTCCTCCCTTGTCCGGTGGGCATCCAACGGCACTAGGGCTCTGGAGGCAGCACCCCATGGGACATGGCAGCTCTGTGGGCCATGCCAGTCACGGAAGGGAATAAGCAGAGATGCTTACTGGAACAGTCCAGAAAGCAAAGCCAAGAGGAGCATGGCAGCACCAGAGGGATTCTCCTCCATGTTCAACAAGCCTGGACAAGAAGGATCAGCCCACTGGCCCCTGCCTGACATCTGTCTCATGCCAGCAGCTACTCTCACCCTTCCAGGTTAAGGTCTCAGTTAATCCTCATTAACCACCTTCCTTCAACACATAAGGAGAGAGTGAAGTCTGTCCAGCCAATGCTATCTAAGGCTGCTGTGTGTGCACAGAGACACAGAGGTGGGTGGCTGGTGGGTGCTTACATTCCCAGACAGGGACTCTCCTTCCCAGGCCCTTCCCAGCAGTCCAGGTCTCACCTGATGGAAGGTACCACCAGGAGTCAGTGCTGGCTGAATTCATCCTTATAAGGAGCAGAAATCCTGTTATGTTCTACAACAAGACCTTGTTTTCCTGCTACACTAGCAGAGGGACCAGCAAGATTGAAATGAATGAGGGACTGAGGAGCAGGGGAATGCCACGAGTATGATGCAGCTCAGTAAAGGAGAGTCAGTAAATGCTGGCATACAGGACAGACAAAGAGCTTGGTTAAGCAGCCCCAGGAACTCATGCTCCAGCTGCACACCTGTGCTTCTCCCACTCTCTCCAGCCTCTACTTCAGGTCCCAGGTTGGAGCACAGGCCCCTGAGATGGAGGGATCTGATCACTACTGCTCTGAGGAGCCTCCCATGCACTTCAAGGAAGCTTTACAACAAGAATTGACTCCACTGACACAATGATATGCAAACAAGTTCATTAAGCAGTGCTTTGTCGAAGCCATGTGCTCAAATAGCAGCAGGAAAGGCTTCACTCCAATCCAGTGTGGCCATGCACAAAGACCAGAGTGGAAGCAGCACAGAGAGCGATGCAGATCCAATTAAGCTGCCTGAGAACATACATCCCCTCACCCCTTCCACCGGCTGCCAGGCACAACATGGTTCTCATACTTTCACCATGTGTCATTCTGTGCAGGCAGCGTGGAAATAAGGACCTGGGAGCTCAGAAGACAGAAAACACATTTTGGCAAAGACACACAGTCGCTCTTCCAGCCCCCGGGGCCACCTCGCAGAGGGACTGCTCCACGCTGAGGTCTCCTCCCTCTCCTCTCCCCCACCAAGCCTCCCCTCTGGATGGGACTGCCCACACCACGCTC